TATATATATATAATTTCCAATCATTTTTTTTATGATTGTCTACTGTTGTACTGATAACTACAAATGTATTAACTGTAGGGTAAACTATATCTTGGCTGCAAGTATCAAGCTGAGAAATCCTTCATTTTCTAAACTGATAGTGGTTGGTCATTAATTATGATGAAGTTTATAGTAGATGAAGAAATTATGTCGGACATCTGTACAATATAAATATTTGTCCAAGGCTACATATATTTTATGTATACCTTTAAGTACTGTGATTGTTAACGCCAAGCTTTTTATCCATTTTAAATTCATCTCCTTTCATGTCCTTATTTTTGGTCTCACCCGTTCCTCCTCTGTTCTCCTCTCCTCTGCAGAGGCAACAGTTCTGAGTTATGATGGCAGCATGTACCTAAAGATTATCATGCCATTCACCATGCACATGGAGGCTGAGGATGTGGCGCTGCGCTTCATGTCCCAGCGGGCGTACGGCCTGCTCATGGCCACCACCTCCAAAGAGTCAGCTGACACCCTGCGACTTGAGCTGGACGGAGGCCGCGTCAAACTCACTGTCAACCTTGGTAGGCCACCATGATTCAGCTCCAGAATTGTTGCTAACCAAATCCCTTGCCTTGTCTCCTCATCTTCACCCTGCACTATTGTTCTTATGGATTCAGTTTGATGTGTTGCTTTTTAAACCTTTTATTTATTTTTTATGGTAATGATGAATAACAGGAAAAGTTTCTGTTTGTCCCTCATTTACAGATTTCTATACGTATTGGCTACAGGTGATGCACAACACAATTCTATTGCTTCTTAAGCTTTTTAATGCATTGATTTGTAATGAACTCGCATTGAGTGAAGATGTTCTGCACTGGATTATAGCTATGTGGCTAATTGCATCTGCAGTCTAAGTTTGCATCATTAAAAAAAAAAAAAGATTTTAATACTGGTGAACCAAAATATGAGGTACAGATACAGAAACTTCCCCTTACAAGACTGCTTGCAGCGAAACAAATCCCAAAGTCAACATCTGAAGGTATCCTCTGCACATAGTCATTTTGTCTTTAGTAACTAGCCACCCTGTTGTAATTTTTCTTATTATTATTTTACAACTCTCCCCCCAATCTGCATTACATTCATTATTTTCATTACTTTTATTTGTGAAGCCCAAACATGACCTCACATTATGAATAGGCTCCATGTCTAAAAACATCCATGACCTGCACCTTAACCCTTCAACCTGTCTCCAGAAGCTTCAAGGTAGCCTTGCTCCTGTCTGCCTCCTCCTAGTGGTTATCTGGTTTAGTTTTTATTAGTCAGGTCTATTTTTTTCTTTGCTGCAGTTTGATTTTTAGGTACAAATATTATCATAAGAATAACACTGATTTGTTGAAAGAGGAGGAAGATGTAGAGTAAGTCAAAAAGTAGTTAATGAAGATGAGATCAGTGAAGTTGTACAAAGAAAATAGTTTGACAAATAGACCGTTTCAAAGAAGCAACTGGCTGAAGGAGTCCAGAACTCACGGTGCCTTAAAAATGTATTCATACAACTTGAATGTTTCTTCAGAATTAAAATTATGCATATTATCTGTCTGTTTATCCATCCATTTATCTTTCACTTGTTCCGCAGTCGGGTTGCAGGTGCAGCACCTCTGCACCACACACCCAGCCACCTCTTCTTGCTTTTCTGGAACGAGTCCAAGGCATCCCCAGTCCAACTGACAAAGTCTCTCCAGCATGTCCTGTGTCTTCCCCAGGTTTCCTCCCAGTCAGTCATGCCTAGAGTACCTCCCTAGGGAGGTGATCAGGGAGCATTCTTACCAGATGCCCGGATACCAGAACCACCTCAAATGGCTCCTTTCGATGTGGAGGAGCAGTGACTCTACTGTGAGTCTCTCCTGGAGAACTGAACTTCTCACTCTAAAGGAGAGTCCAGCTACCTTCTGGATAAAACTCATTTTTTTATTGTTTGTATCAATAATCTTGTTCTTTTGGTCAATACCCAGGGTTTGTGCCCATTGGTGAAGGTATGAATGTAGACTGACTGGTAACAGGGAGCTTTGCCTTACAGCTCAGCTCCCTCTTCACCACAACGGACTGGCACGAAGTGTGCAATACTTTTGAAACTTCACCTATAAGTGTGTCAATCTCACACTCAATTCTTCCCATGCTTGTGAACAGAACCCCAAGAAACTTGTACTCCTCCACTTGTGATAGCACCTCAGCCCCAACCCAACCACAAGAGGGTAATCCACCCTTTTCTGACTGAGGACCATATCCTTAGATTTAGAGGTGTTGATCCTCATCCCAGCCACTTCACATTCGGCTGTGAACTGCTCCAGTGAGAGCTGATTTTCATGACAAGATGACACCAACGGGCCCACATCAGAGATGGAATCCTGAGACCACCAAACCTCCGATGGATGCATTGGTAAAATCTGTCCATAAAAGTTATGAACAGAATCAAAGACAATGGGCAGCCATGGTAGAGTCCAACTCCACCACATTGGAGGAGGGGGTGAAATTAAATGCATAACACCCTTTTAAGATTTTAGTTTGAAAAAAAAAAAAAAAGTTAAAAACGATTGTATCATTTTGCTTCCACTTCACAGTTTTCTTCTGCCTTTCACTCATTTGTCACATCAACTCTCGGTAAAATACTTTGTTTATAGTTGTAGCATGACAAAATGTGGAAAAGTTCAAATTGTATGAATACTTCTTTGAGGCACTTTATGAACTTTTTTAAAAATTTTCATTTATTTGTTAAAAATAAGATTGCTCTTGGTAAGATGGGCACAACCAGCCTAATCTGTACCTAATGGCTGACAGTGAACCATCAGAAGGACCGATCAGTGAACCAGGAAGAGAACGACAGAGATGCAAAGTTTATGGCGCCTGTGAGACGGGGAAGGAGGTTTTAGGATAAACAAAACCCATCTTTCTTCTTTCTCTCCTTCACCCACTTATTCTGTCTGTCACTCATAAGTATCCCACCTGGCCACAAGTCAGACAATGGAACTTTTCATCCCTTCAATGGCCTGTATGTCTGCGGCCCTTGGATCAAATAGCCAGAGAGACCGGCTCACACCTGTAGGTGTCACTAGATGCACTCTCATTTGTATTCACATGGCCAAACCTTGGCCTGTAAGTCGTGTCACATACCAGTGCTATGTTGCTAGTTCCAGTGTGACTGAAATAAAACATCCAAAAACTCATAGTTGTCTAAAACGTTAGCACTCCCAAGGATAAATAGGTTTTTACAGGAGAAATAATCAATCACTTAAGTGAAATACATCCAGCAGTCAGAAGAGAATGCTTTTGATCTGTTAAGATATTTTTGATACAGTTAAAAAAATCATCCATTAGGAATTCCCATAATTGGATTGATTCAGTTCTAATGCTTTTTATTAGTTTTAATGTTGATAACGTATTCAGTGTTTCAACAGAATCTAGTTCTGCCACGCAAACCATCAGATGGAAGGAGTCAGACTTTGTATGAGTTATCTGAAGAGAAATGTTTTCATTTTGAACATGCAGTTTGAATTTCTGAAAACACCAAAGAACACTGGTTTTCTTTATATGTGCTCCATGAATGAACTTTTATTCTGTAAGTCAATGCTTGCATTACTGCTACACCTTTTACAGAGTGATGCCAGTCTCTGGTTGTTTGTGTCCACTAATCTGTAGCGGTTGACAGCTCTAGACCACAGCCCAACCACACAGCCACATGCACGTTGACTTCACAACTCAAATTATAAAAAAAAGAAGTCCAAAGGAACCAAAGAGAATAGGCATCTGAGGAGAAAAGTGATTTGATACCATTATAGCACCTAGTCTTCACTTAGAATGAAGTCATGTAGTTTATGTTGGAGTTAAACTCTTGATCAAACAAAAGACAAAAACTGAAATTCACTTTTTAATCAAAGTTCATAAACAGTCAGAAAAATTCATTTCCTCTTGTAGGATGAATATGATGAAAGATGACTGTTCCTTGCGTGCACCAGGCGTGTGGTGGCTGGGATGTGCAGGGCACCCTTTCTTGCTATTTACACTGTTGGGTCTTTCATAACCAAAGTGCAGCAAAAGGCAAGTAGATCTCAAATGATCAGAAGTTAAAAGAGCTGTGCGGGGGCCGAGATGGTGTTAGAGGTAGGGCAGCTGACTTGGGACCAGAAAGTTGCAGGTTTGTTAGGATTTGTGTCAGGAGCGAACCCAGAGTGCAGAACAGGGACTCAACTCGGCAGATATACAAAAAAGGTTTTTAATGATAAATAAAAAGTACAAAATAAACAAGCTGACGGGGCAGCAAAACTTACATGAACTAGGAAGGAGGCACGGGGAACTCAGGAGACATGGGGAACTCGAGGGACCAGGAAGACAGGGAAAGACTCAGGAGACCCAAGGAAGAGTACCCAACGAAGACGACCCGACAAAGAACAAGACAGAATAGGACAGCTTAAATACAGGGAGAAGATGAGACATGATGACAAACAGCTGGGACGAGACACAGGTGGCAACAATGGAAACTAATGAGGAAGCACGAGGGAAACAGACAAACCGGGCCACAGAAAAGTACCATCCTTACAAGGTTCAACTCCCCGCCATGCCCACATGTCATGGTGTCTTTGAGCAAGACACCCAATCCCTAACTGCTCCCCCGGCACCTTCATAGATGCTCACTGCTCCACCTGGGTGTATCTCAGGAGTGATGGGTTAAATGCAGAGAACTAATTTTGTTATTCTATGGGAACACATAGCACATAAAAAAAAAAATAT